ACATCTTACACCTATCTTTCAGCAACCTATATATCCACTTATCCACATCCCGTATATCGATTCTCCTTGTTTCCAGTCTTATTATCATCATAGTATTATTATTCATGTTATACTTCTAGTAGTCCTCTCAAAGAATAATATTTCAGGCGAGATTTTATGTCCTATTTGGGCAGATCTGCGAGCAATAAGATGCATTAGGCAGTTGCTAACAAAGAGATTGTCGCAGGTCCCAGAATCTGAAAAGAAAATGATAAAAGAATATTAAAAGCCTTTAAAGTAATTTCTCATTATTTTTAATCATTTTATTTAAAAATTCAAGTCATCTAAAAGAAAAATTTTAGTATTATATCCAAATGAGTTTAACAATACCAGCAAGAACATACATGTTACTTTTATATTTGGGGCGCGAGTTGACACCATATGATGATAATCTTTGACGTGAATTTTACAAGTATTTTGGGTATGATCATATGCTTGTACGGAACCAAAATGCTTGGCATACAAAATGGCTATTTAAATTACTACTTAAATTTTGGTCGGGCTATTTTTCAGTACTTTCCAGTCCAAGGTTGCTTTCTGTTTTTCAATGATTTCCAGTGCTTTTGATAATACACATGCACTACAACTGTACATTTTAAAAACAAAATGCTTGGCAAACAAAATGGTTGTTTAAAGTTGAAAAATGGCAGCACTGACTTTGAACAACAGTTGAACTAATAAATCGTCTTCGTCTAGTAATGTTTTGATAAGAGATACTCGCGGAAAGGTGACAAAATAAGAGATCTTATGAAAATGAATACATAAATTTTGGCCAGGCTATTTTTCAGTGCAAGGTTGCTTTCTGTTTTCCAATAATTTCCAGTGCATTTGATAGTGCACATGCACTACAACTGTACATTTTAAAAGGTAAAATAGTAATTGTCCGTGGTATTCGATAAATATTGTTCACATTTTATTGCCAGTTATGAGTATTCACCATTGTTAACTTTTTATTGCCGTCGAGTTGTCACAGGGTATGTTGGTATTGGACAAAGTCGTGTCTAATTCAAATTTGTGCATTTTATCCAAATAATCTATATTCATAATAGACGAACAGTTCCAAAGATTCTTATATAATCTTTGGCTTTAAAAGATATCTGTAAGGATACGCGATTAGCACAAAATATAAAGAAAAACTTCCGGAGCAGCTGTGTAGCTTGGTACACACATTTTCTGTCATATTAGGTATATACATATAATTTTAAGTATAGCGTAGACATATACAAAAACAAACAATAATATCAACTAGTTATTATTATATATAATAATTATATGTGACATGATCCTTGTTGAAGTTTTAATCATTAATGACTTATTTGATTGCTTATTACAGTGATCTTTCTACTGTAAAACATAGTTTTTAAAAATATTTCGTAACATATAAAATATCTAATATAATATTTGAATAAACCGAAAATTATTTGTCGGTTTATTCGCTAAATAATAGTTTGCCTCACTTATTTTTCTTTTATATTAATTAATGAGATGATACAAAGAAGTTTTATCTATAAATTCGTATCGAAGAATCTACCAACGCTCCAAAAAATAACTATTTTCTATAAACCAGTTTTTTATTTCAGTTGCATTATTTAAATTACAAATATTTATTGTAAACTAAAATACACAAAAGCGAGAATTGTTAAACGCAATACTACTCATAACGCAAATACACCGTTCGTTGAATTAAATAAATATACATTTTGCAGTTAATGTTAAACTTGAAATAATATTTGGCTTTATTCTATAAAAACAAATTTGTACTATTAAACAAATCAGGTCATTATCATCCTAGGTAATTCAATTATGACGCTGAATTTATATTGATATAACCTTTACATTTTTTAAATTCATCACAGAATTTTTCTAAAATTGTGGAATTTATAGTATGTACTTAGTACATAAGTATCCACTTCAACGTGACCTACTTAGAAATTATCACAAGTGGTTCAATTACTATTAATATGGGCCTACTATATTATTTATATTTACTGTAATATATTACGTAAATATAAATTCATATAATATTTTATTTTCAAATAGTTTGTAGTATTATTATAGCTGATAAATATTTTCAAAATAAGGTATACAAATAACTTCATTTATGTATATGGCTTAAAGTTTATCAGAGGTCAATAAAATTATAAAAAAGAGAGAAAAATGAGTAATCAATAATTGCATATAAATTATTAAAAAAATCTAGGATTATTAAAGAACAAAATAAAAGTAAAAAACAAAAATAATTCCAAGTTCAGAAATTTTGTGACGAGTTTGCATTCTTTCTATATCTGATCACACATTCCTTCTAATTATAACTTTTTCAAGGTTTTGATAAATTGTTTTGGAAGTTGTCTTATGTGAAAATGTACATATTTATGCCCTAAATACTTTAGTAAGGTTTTCTTATCAAAGTTTAAGTATGATATTGACGTTTCAAATATTTGGTATACATATACTCACACACACAAAAGTTAACGCAATATCGCAATTTATATCTGTTATGTACTATGAAGTACATCTGCACTCTAAATCTATATATTTAAAATAAATAAATGGTAGTTTGCACGAAGGCAGGTCCACAAATCAATGATTTCTCGTCCCTTATTTATTATTCCCAGCACTATTTTATTACCATTAATCACGTTTTTTTACTTCTATACATATTTTTCTCTCCAAAAGTCTGCTTCCATGCTTCCTGATCCTGTACTTTGATTTTCAGTTTCCTGTCGTCAATCATCTGCATTCTTCTTCTCACCAATCCTTTAAGTCCAATTATACCTTCGACGGCAATGAGTAGGAGGTACTCTATTTGCATAATGGTTTCGATCCTTTTCCTCCCTTTTTCAAGATCATGATCAGTAGAGTTTTTATTTTGCCCACTCTTTTCAACACTTCTTTATGAGTGATCTAGTCTGTCCACTTTATCTTCTCCATTCGCCTTCAGCACCATATTTGAAAACCAGATAGTTTTTGTCAACATTTCTTAGAGTCCATGTTTTTGATCCCTCATTATACCAAATATTTTTTTATGTATTAATACATAATTGTTTCGGTTTATGGTATTTTTAGAGTCCATAGTTCTGATCCCTTATTATATTGTTATTATATTAAATATTTTTATGTTATAATTTTCATTACCTAATTGTTTCTATTCACGGTAATTAGAATTTCAATATAAAAATTGATTTTCTGAATGATGACACATGTCAAGTGTCGAAACGTTTAGATAAACAAGTATAAATATTATTCATTTTTTTTTTAATTTGATTACTAACAGTTGTAAACATTGAACAAAAAACACTACAAAGATAAATTATCCACCATGAGTCAACTACAAAAATAATAGTATCAATTACAATAACAAATAAATGCTATCGCAAAAACTAGTTGAGAAACACAGCAAGAGTACGCTCCTAGTGCACGAGCACCGGAATCAAACCAGCTGTTCGCTGAGTGCACGCGCACTCGCGTATGAACCGGTCGAACCTTGATCACTGATGTTCAACATCACGATGTGTTAGGTCAATATATAGTGACGTTGATTTTTTTGTCTTATGCTAATTCATTTGTTATCGATTGACTCTTTAAGACTTGGGCGATAAGTTCAAGTTCTTTGTATATGGTATCAGTTTTTATGATGATTCGACACGTACGCGAAAAGCTCGCTTTGGTAATTCAAAGGTGAAGTGAACAATGATGTCGATTGGCGTGTTTTGTTATGTAGATTTTGGTTTTATGTAAATATTGTTAAGTGATAACAATGGGTCATGAGTAAGTTACGAAAGGAATTTTGGTAACTAATGCATAGAATTATTCAAGGACCATTTCAAATTTTATTAATACATCCTTAGAAGTATTCTCTTCACTTTTTGTAGTTCAATGTTTTGAATTTCTTGTAAGTTAATCCTGAAAACTGAGGGTGTAAATATGCAGTATGTGAAGTTTTGTATAATTTTACAGATATTATGAATCATAAATTAAAAATTATATATATTTTACTTGCATTTTATATTTTGACGCTATGAATTTAATTTGCTGTATCGATTTGCCAAATTGAAACTAAATTAACCCTTTACACTTGCTAATTCCGAGATTTATATGAATTTTGATGCCGGAGCAGCGACATTCGAGTGAAAAGGGTTAAATTAAATCAGATATAGTTAAATAGGCTCCTATAAATAGATGAACATAAAATACTTTAATGTATTTAAAGACTAATTTAAATGAATTTGAATGTAGATAGCATTCAATTAAGAAATATAGAAAAAGAAATATAAATTAATGAAATTGAAAATCTTCAATATCTTGATAAAGTATATTATGCAGTAAAATATACAGGCAGAATACTGCCTGATTAAAAAAAAATCAGTAGGAATCATACTAATAAATTGAAATTTCCTGGAATTTTATCATAAATGTAAAGAAATACAATTATCGTCCCAAATACAATGATGACTTTGTATCATTGGTCTACATTACACTTCCTTATTTAAGTAAGTTAAACATTACTTTTTAGCAGACAAATATTTATAATCCGATAGTAATGAATTCTGTAATCGATTTCAACTGCGTCATAGGTCATAACTATAAAATATTTTTGTGTTTTCGGTTCCTTGGCGGAAACCTAACACATTGGTGCAAATTTTATAAATATTACGCTAACAATTTTATTATACTTCGATCAAAAATAAGATAACAAAATAATAAAAGATGCTAATTTATTTAATAATAAATAATTTATTACACTCATGCATCAAAATGATGTAAGTTCATAAAAACTTGATAGTGATGAATTGCTATATTATCATGACATTGCATGATGTTAAATGCAAAATCGATCATATATTAATAACTGGTTTGTACATTTTTTACTAAATTTAGAATAGTTTCTAGCATATAATGAAAATATTTGTTGATTAGTCATCAGTAATAATTAATCCAATAGAAGCTTACATAGTGTCTTGATTTTTTCGGAAAATATTCGATAATAATATTCTTGTGCTTTTGGTCTATATGGACGATGATTTTGAGTTCAATATTCTTAACATCAAATAAATTTTAATGAATCATCTCAACTTCTTGCTCGGCTCATTATTAAACATGCCTCTTACTGCATTATTTCCACGAAGGTTCAATTTTTGCCAATTAATTTTTTGAGTAATTCGTGCATAGAAGTTTGTTCTACAACAAAATTGACATTGTAATAATTTCGCATTACAAACTCAAATTTATCATATTAACGAGTGGATCTCAATTTCAGTCTCAGTACTATATAAGCCACCACTCTCAGAAACAGGAAAAATCCAAATAAAGCAACAGCGTCAATCCAGAAAACTGCATCTTCCATAGCCATTTCTTCCAGAAAGTCTTCAGGATTTGTAAAATGGCAATTATTATCTTCTGAGCACTTCAATTCTTCTCTATCAAATCCATATACCGATAACATAGCACCTTCGAAACCATATCTAACATAACTAATATAAGTCAGCCAACTCAAATATCCAGGTATAGCATTAAAATTTACAAAAAATCCGGAGAACAACACAATTGGTATTGTGGTAATTGGCCCTAAATATACACCTGTTTCTATACTCATAGCTGCTCCAATGAGCAAACCCAAACTTTGGGAAACTAGAGATGTCAGAATGCAAATTGAGACAAACATGAGCACTCTATCTAATTCTAGAGGTTGTGAAGTCATATAATACACTACTAAAACGTAACCACTTGTGAATACAACCTATAAGTAAAATTTTCTAATTAGAAATCGTCCGAATATTTCACACAAATTGTGAATTATTAATGATTTTTATGTTTAGGCTTACTAGACAATTTATAGATTTTTTAAATTACGCTCGATTAAGAATTAGTTGTTTTGGATTACATAATTATTGTATTAAATTTTTAATTGAGATGTGTTGGTTTTACGATTTACTTATCCTAAACACTTATAATTAGAAAATAGGAAGATAAAATTAGAAACAGAGATTTGAAGTACTTAATAATACGGTAATAAGGACTTCATTGATTTTTGAAAAAAAATTGATTAATTTTAGTTAAATTTTTTTTTCTAACTTACCTGGAATGGCAGATCTGCTACTGTTTTTGCAAAATAAAATGATTTCAGTGAATACCAATAGTTCAAATGTTCACGTTTGAAGGCAGCCATTTCTGTTGGGACTGTAATGATATAAATTAATTTAATGCAATAAATCAAAAAACAATATGGTATCAAATATTATTATCTTACATGTTAAAATAGTAGGCATCATCGCTGTGAACATAGTAAACATAATTGTAAAAAACAAGCATCCTGCATTGCTCATCACTTTTGATCCCTCATCTCCTATATCGTAGTATATCAATCCAATTAAAACTCCAACTATCACATGAGAAAGTAGACGTAAATGTGTCAAAGTTTGATCTCTAAATATTGTAAGGAAAGTTCGTTTCAGAAGAATCCAAAATTGTTGAAATCCAGAAGTTGGAAATCCAGTTGCATTTGGCACCGTTGTAATACTTTCGTTGGAAGATTGAAGTATCATTATAGAACTGTCGGTTAGCGATTTTTGACTAGCGGAATTAAATAAATTATTGGCAATCATCACATTGTGTATTTTTGAATCATCGTTTGCTATCAACGGTGGTGTGCAGTTATTTTTTAAATTATTTAGAGTTAAGGTCGACGGGATTAAAGTTTTGTCATCAGCTATCTTGGATTTTGTTTCTTTAACTTTTATTACTAAATTTTGTATACATTCACCATACTCGCCAGATGCTACTTCCATTACTGAAACAGATATAAATATATCTTATTGTTAATACTTGAAGTATTTGAAGAGTCAATTTTACTAAGAAAGTATTTTTTTTATTGGGAAAAGGATTTATTTACGTTGTTTTAACCCACTTCATATTTAAGCCGATTAATTATAATACGCTTCAATTGATTTCTCTAAATAAATGCCTCTAAATTAGCAATATATCCAAAATAAATTACAAGTGTTGATGTTGCATACATGTACATGCAAATTATATCAAAATTGTACTTTGTTCCAAAAGGTCATTTGAACTAAACAAATTCATTAATTAATGACTTGCGATGACAACATACAAAATGAACAAGGCGATAAGTTTATAAACTGTTTATGATCTGATTATTTTGACATTCTTATATCCAATTATCTTAAAAAAATCAAATTTTAACAATTTCAATAATTTTTATCTTTATCAATATCACTCACCAAAATCCGCAGGATTATGATAACTCGGGCACTCGAATCCAAAGGACAACAAAAATGGCAATAGATCTCCAACTGCACCATTATATATATTCTGCCCATCGGCTAATAAATAAAGATGATCAAACATTTCAAATAGTCTCGCAGAAGGTTGATGTATAGTGCAAATTATTGTCCTGCCACCCCGAGCTAAAGATTTCAATAAACAAATCAATTGGAAACAAGTCGATGAATCTAATCCTGAGGTAGGCTCATCAAAGAACATGACAGGTGGATTGTTCACTAACTCTAGTGCAATAGATAGTCTTTTTCTTTGTCCGCCTGATAGATGTAAGGTTTTTGTATTTTTACATTCTACTAATCCTAACGTCTCGATGATTTCGTCAACAATTAAGCGTTTTGCAGAATAAGATATATCTTTGTCTAGTTTTAAATTTGCTGATATCAGCATAGCTTCACGTACAGTTATATATGGTAGTAGATCATCATCTTGCATTATGTAACAAGATAGTTTTCGGAAACTTCTTAGATTTCTTTCCTTGCCATTGATAAGAACAGAGCCAATCATATGTGATGTCCTGAAATTTAAAGTCAGAGTATTGTAAAAAATTACTGAACATTTCAGCGATATATTGCATATTTAAAAACTTACTTATAACCAGCCAAGACATTCATAAGTGTACTTTTTCCTGCTCCTGAAGGGCCCATAATGGCAGTCAATTTTCCAGAGTGGAAGGTTCCACTCACATTTTGTAATATTGTTTTATGTGCACAATGTCTTCCATGTGGTACTGAATATGAAATATCTATAAATTCCACATCTACTGGCGGTCGTCTCGGTAAATTCGATAAAGTTGCTGATTTTGGGCTATGAGTAGGACTATTGTTATGGACATTTACAGGTTCAGAGGTAAAACTATCAATAAGAAAATTAAATGAGATATAATATTTTTATTGTTTCAATCTACCACTTAACTCACCTCAAGTGATTCGGTCTTTGCTTATGGTCAGGGCTCATTTTTTCTGTACTATTCATTTTAATTTAATTTTTTATTTTGTAATTAGTTTATGTTGTTTGTTTTGTTATGTTTTGTTATCATATGTTCGAAAATTAATACTGTATAAACCATATCCCTATTTCAATCTACCTATATAGGCTTTTGTTATCTCTGAAGAGATTATGCAAGATAGCGCAATTGTAAACATTTAATTAATTAGTGATGCATATAGGATTTAAAATGCATTTTGTTAAATTTGAATCGCTTGTATTAAATCGAATAATAAATCTAATTCAAGAGCTAAAAACTATTACATTTTATAAGACGATAATAACAATAATTCTCTACTTAGTGTTTTTATTTCTTCATTTGCAATTTATTCTAATTTTACTTAATTTAACTACACATTTTGCTGCAATTTTATTTATTTTATCAACAGCGAAAATGCTTACTTTTGAGTAACCCTAGTAATTTCAAGGTACGTTGTTCGGTATTTATTTACATTTTTCTTCCAAATCAGTGGTTTCAAATTAAAAAAAAAGTTGCACTCAAACTTTTCAAACAATCTAATATCATAAATACTCTAATACCATAAATACTAAAAAACAGCATTGAGCCCTACCTAGGGAGCGCGCTGCATAGTTTGGAAATAAAATAAATAATATTGAAAATAAAATAAATAAATGAAACTTTGATATGGCATTGTAAATTATTTCTGTATTTTACATTTGATATTGATTTCCCTTGAATTACACGTATAAAATATAAACTATTGATATTTCGATTTCAGAATATTAAAAGAAGAAACAATGAGGAAACATTGGATCAATTAGGTATAAAATGCATAATTATTATTATCCACTATGCATGCATAATTAATATTTTCAATAATTAAATTATGAATTCAATGATAAATGTATCAGTATCGGTTGCATTTTGTCTATAAATATGTAACGTAAATGAGTTTAGAAAGATATTACTCAACTAGAGTCGTATTTAATAAATTTGTTTATAAAAAACTAACGCATTTTAAAGAATATCGTGCAGATATTTGATCATTACTACATTTCAAAAATATTAAAAAGAAATTGGCAAGCTTTCGCAGAGTCAAAGCACATTAATATTATCAATGATAAAAGGGGAACATAAATGGTATCAATAAATAATTAAAATCATTATAAAAATTGCTCAAGATCTCTCCAAATTTTAATATAAAGAGTTCATTATTATGCATTTTGCATCACCGTGTCGCAACACTAAAATAATCAGATAACAATTAAGACCATATATTTTTTCTTCTATAATTAAATAATCAGACATATATTCTCGTTCAGAAGTACTGATACAAAAGTACTTGCCATTATCAAATTAAATTTACGTTTACTGAATTGCGACTTACTAGATGTCATTTGCACTCAATACTTGATAAATCATCTGAGATTCTAAACATATGTGAAAAACAATTTTTTAAGCTATTCATCCGCAAGTGAATATATTTTTAATTTAAATATTATCGGACTAAATTATGTATGTTTTATTTAAGCATGTACATGATGTATTACATCACTTATTTTATATTTTATAAAATATGTTAAATGAAAAAGTTTAGATTGAATAATTGATTTAATAATTTGCAATTCATGAATAGCTAATACAAGTAAATACATTCTGTGATTTTAATATAAGAAAAATCTTGATCCAAGTATTCTACGCAATGCTTGCAAGAAATTCAACTTTGTATAAAAAGCTCCGCAAGGTCAGAAGGAATTATACTAATAACATTACGAATAAAGATTTTAAAAGCATCGGTTTATAAAGGTATCTAAAGAAAATTTAAGAAGATTATTTTACATAAGAATGATCAAGTAAAGTGCCTGTTTGAAATATAAAGCATGCGGTAATTGGAAGCTTTTATACGCCGCTTTTATGGAAGAGACGGTTTCAAGATAATAGGTGACAGAAGCTTGAGAATTTATACCATTGAAGTATAAAAAATGGTTTTATAAAAGACTTAAAAGCAATATATAGAGGAGTACAAGATGCAAGAGCTCTGGCATTTTAACCCAAGGTTCCGATTTCAAATCCTGCGTTGCGTGCAACCCCTTACCAATTTAACTGGTAGTATCCATATTGAACTTGAAAATGTTGATTATAGATAAAGTATAGATAAAGTCGGGAAATGGTGAAAAATATTAAAATACCATCGTAATTAGATAAGGACAATTAATGGGTTGCCCTCCATAAGCCATTAGTAAAAATTGATCTTCAAAAAACAATAACCGTCACAAGAGCATATGAATTTCCAATTTTTGAAAGTTATATTAGATTATGACCCTTATCGCCATTTAAATTTGGTTGAAAATGTAAAAATAATTTAACATTTAATTACAAAGAAACGGCCTGACCAAACTTTACCAAAAACTAACTAGCATCATTGCCAAATGATATCTTCAAAACTGTTTAAATTCTCAAAATCGCTTCAGATTTTTTGGCTAAAACGTTATTCACAAGTTTCGCACTTTTTTTTAATAATAAAGAAGATTATGCAAAATACTGTGTAATCATGCAAAAAAATATTTTAAAATATTCTGCTATGAGTAATTAATCACGATTAACTATATTAAACCTGACAAATCATTTTTAAAAGCGTAATTATCCCAGTTGATAGTTTATCAAGTTTTTTAAATGATCAAAAATTGATTATCATTGCTTCTATAATTGTAACATGTTAGCAAATTGAAGAACTAGTCATCTGACTTGTGACTAATGATTCAAATGCACGCAAATCGTCAACTTTGTACTCTAGATCAAGGATGGTCAACGAGTTGATTTCTTAGTAATCATTGGGTCGATTTTTGACAATGGTCAGAAAATTTTGTATTCTTAAATCCTAAAATTTTTCTTTTGTTCTCAAAATATCTGTAAAATTTATTGTATAAAAAATCAACAAAAAACTGAATCTACAATATTGCTGCTCTATCAGTGTTTTAAGGCAGTGATGATATAGCAGTGCCTTGAAACAAATTGCAACAACTTGTAGAATTATAAACGAATATTAGATAAATATAGGATTTTTGGAATAAAAGTGAAAATTTTTGATCAATGTTTTTAAATTTCGAAAATGTTGAACACAAACTTAGAATATTCCAAAAAAAAAATGTTTTCCAGTATTTATAAGAATTATTCGATTTATTTATTATTTTCAAACCGAACATCATTTACTACTGATACTGATCGTAATCAGATGGGAAAGCTATTAAAAAATTATGGACCAAACTTTATTAACTTACATTTAACAGATTTGATGGTTCAAAGCCCTGGGCAGTATAAAAAAATTAATTATTATCTATAAAATCTACGTAAAACTAATTGAACAACATTTAATTATATATGTTTATCTATTAGATATGAATAAATTATAATATTTATATTTAGTTCTGTTTGTAATTACGTAAACATATTTTCCAATAGATTATTAAGTTCAAAAGATTTATTAATGATTCATATAATTGCATTTACATTTTCCTATTGCGGATTTTTGATACGGAATATTAATATGGAATTTTCTATACGGCGATTATAAGACGACTTATATTATACGAATTTTTTTATATATTAACTGATTGCAATTATTATTATTCAAATTTCACAAAATATATTAAACCAATTAACCTTAATAAATATATTCGAAAAAAATAGAGAACTTAAGCCAGAAATCTCATGCAATATAGTACCATTCATAAAGAATATTTTTAGCTGAAACATAGAAAAGTCTTTATGATGTCTTGATACAAAATTTATTAATATGCACCCTTGAAGTTTTAGGTTTCAACTGTTTTAAGAAACTGAAAAAAAACTGAAGTTATAGCATATTAACTGAGAAATTGAGTTAAACATGCATTTGTATAATAGAATCAAGAAAGCTTTCCTATTCCATCCAAATACTTATTTTCATTAAAATAGGGCATGACACCAAAGAGGGTATAACACATTTATAAATGCCACTTGGTTATTAGTTATTGTGCTTTTTCAAAACTTAAATTTAATAATTTCATTTATTTTTTGATTAATGTAAGTTAAAAAAAACATTATTCTCAATAGTATTGAAATGTTGATTCTAAGATTAAAACCGGTGGATTTCAATAAAATCCGCTGCAAAGCGTGGCCGGGTACGATAGTATGTATATATATATATATATATATATATATATATATACACATATGTCTTGACCACCTCTGCTGTAGATCGTGCCCACAAATCATGCAATTGGACTTAATTGTCCTACAGAATTAATCACTAGTGTTCGCAAAATGCTTATTCATGTCCTGTCAATGTTTTCCGACCTGCAAAGGACACTCGTGAGAAATATTCATATCAAATGATATAACTTCCGTTTTTGATTTGTTTTCAATTTTTTATCTAATCACTGAAATTGCGCTTTGTAATTAAAAATATTTTTGAATCCAGATACGGATGCCGCTTTAGAAACAGAGCGCATAAAAATAAATAATTGAAAATATTATTCCTGAAAGGCTTATGTCTAAGATTTGAAACCTTCAAAATAGTATGCGAAAAAATCGTTTAAATATTTTAAAACTCAAAAAATTTAATTGCTTTAAATAATTTCATTTTGAAAATTGGATTTTATTCCCTTTTGATTCAAAAATTACTCCTAACTCGTGCAAAAGTATCAAATATAATAATTTAAAAACATATGCGTCACGATTGCTATTCATCCGAGTTCCAATTTCCAAGATAACCAATTTAATTTAATTCAATTTCAGCATAAATGTGCTATGAATCATTTCATGTTCATGACGGCGTGCAAATTGCATATATAGTGAAAGTCCATATTATTCTAGTTAGAAATTCAATGACGACGCAGTTACGTTTCTACGGCTTGCCAATTGCTACTGAATTATTGCCAATAAAATCCAGTAAAGGTGATATTTTTACAAAATAATTGAATAAATACTGAATTTACTTAAGAACGTAATTTTTCTTTCCGGCAAAACATTTAATCATTAATTGTAACCTGATTATGCAGCTGTTATATCAAGGCGTAAATTCTTCGAGCCAAAAAAATTATGGAACCAGTTGTCCAACGCATTGTTACGGTTCAATCTTCATATAAGTTGGTAGTAAAAACTGTCAAAATGATATGTATTTACTGTGGAGTCAGGCATTTCAGATTTAATACCTAACCTAAAAGAGGGAAAAATATAAAAAAACAATGTTATAATAACTGCATTTTTCTGACATGTCATTGATAACATATGTGTGAAGTTAGGTTTTATGCGTACAACGCTTGCAGTCAGGCGTTTTAGATATAAACCCTGACCTAAAAACGGACAAACATAAAAAATGTTATGATAATTGCATCTTTCTGATCTGTTATTGATAACACATACATGAGTAGGGTTTATGTGTTTTTAGACAGTTTTTAGTATCATTTTGTATGAAGCAAATGGCGTAACATTGCTATAACTACGGATTATTTTACTGTAGAATGGAGACCCAGAAATTGGTAAAATATATATTTTATCTTCATTATTTAGTACGAATGTTGTGTTCAATCAAAACATATATTAAAAAATATTAATACTAAACAAGTAAGACCATCTTTATGATTATTAGTATTAGTATTTCATCAATATGCTTATTTTCCTATTTCTTCAAATTCACTGATGATGGCAAAAAATTATATGTAAAAACGTATTTAAAATAAAGATTTTGCTAATTTTTTCAATGTATGCTTTATACTTACATATACTTGTATTTATATATAGGTCAAAACGTAATTATTAATAAAAAGCGTCTTTATTACAACTATGAACAAGTAAACGTATTAAAATAATTATTTACTGGATTTTAATAGCCTTATTAAAGAGATGTAAATATTATTGCAAGTATATGAAAATAAACTGAAAGAAAAACAAATTATTTTATTTATGTAATTAACTAAAAAAATAAAAAGAAATCAACGCAATTGTCTATTGTGATGTTAATATTCATTATAATTTATGTATCATATCAACATGTAGTTATGGATAGTAAAAAAAAACTTCATTTTATAATGCATCAAATATTAACTGAAATTCCAAAAGAATTATTACTAGATCAAGAGTTTAAGTAACACAAACATTTTAATTATTCAGGAAATTCTTTTTAATTTAATAATTATTGTAAAGCAAATTGATATTTGTCTTGTGACTTGATGGTCGCAATTAGCTTCATTAGAATTATTAATTGATTTGGAATTACTCATTCTTATCACATATGAATTGCATTTTTTCCGTGATCAATTTAAATATGATAATAGTATATAATATGAAACAAATATCAATACGTTTCTTATGTAACGTATATTATATAATATATTATTACATTATACAATACTTAATGTTTTATCAATTATATAAGGCATTTACGTATATCAAAAAATATATTATTTTAGTAAATATAATAAGTAAAACTAAAATTCAAAATAACTTACAACTTAAAATATCCTTGACACATTTTAAAATTATACAATCTTTAGAAACGTTCTCACACATACCGTTAAAAAATTATATAAGTAAAGCATGACTAATAATTCTAATTCGAACGATTTAGATTAACTATAATAAAATAATCGTATAAACACGTGCAAAAATCTATTTCAATATATAAAACAAGTCAATGTTTTTGCTAAAATTTATTTTGCTCCGTCAATGATTTGATTGTGGGTTAAAATTTTTATATAACTACGGACAACATAAAATATTAATATTAATATTAATTCTACTTAATTTTAATTTATAAAAGTGTTATAATGATAATGAGAATCAATATAGAAAAATAATATTTCGCATTTAAGACGATTAATATATTTATTGAGAGCACAATAAATTTACTTTTAAAACAAGTTTTATCGACTCACTCATATAGTATAATAATACAATATGCGGAATTTCAGATCAAAAATGTTAATTTTGCAAAAAATGTCTTCTAAATAAACCATCAAAAATATCACAAAGATATATTGTTAAAAAGTGGAAGGGATATAAAGAAAGCCTTGGATAGATCCTAATTTGTGAACATCATGCATCCAATAATATATTTGAGTAAGTAGGATTGCTCAAATCGTACTCGATAATATAATGCCTACCTATATAAAATATTCAAATATAATACCTGTAAGCTATTTTGAAAACTAGAGCATCTATCTATTGAAGAACAATTGCATAGAGTTACGCTCGAATAAAAATTTAATGAATAATATTGATAATACTTGTTAAGAAAACCCAATTTGTTTGAAGTTTTGAAAGTACAATATCTTCTAAAAGAACAAACATCAAAAAGAAGGAAGCTGTTGATTCATACAAATGATATATCTTGCAGATTGTATCAGATCTTTTCGTATTTTGATATCATGTACGAGTATTTTGTTTTTTAAGGGGACTGCTGGACATCATATAATGGTATATCAAAAATAATATTTAATCTATTCTCAACTGTGAGATACTACTTATATTATACTTAAATTACACAAAGCTACATAAAAAATGAAGTAAAACCGTCGATAAATCAATGTGCGGTCAGGTCCATGCAATCTCGCTAAATTAAGGGCGAATGTAACAATATATCAAGGGCTTTTGCTTAAATCCTCCATAAATCGTTTAAGCAGTTAACTCTAAAAGAGTTATTTTTAGCAAAAACAACATAGAAATGTATTAGATAAAGTTCATCCAAGTTGAAAATCAATATCCATTCATAAGCAAGCCGTAATCAAAACTTTATGATGCCATCCGAGACCCATGTCAAAATTGTTCATAACAACTAAAATTTTTCTACAATAATTATATTCCGGCCTCTGGATATAATACATAGTACGATTTGAGCATCCTTATTTATTTTACCAGTTACACAAAACATCACAATAAAATCAATAAAAATCAAGTAAAAATAAAAACAAACAAAAATAAAATAAGAGTATTCCATATAAGAGTTTGATCCAAGACATGGCAGACCAGTAAATCCATAATTGCATGCTTGCTCTAACCCAAAAATAATTAAAATTATAACTTAACTTTATTATTTATATTAAGCTTTGGTTTCTGGTTGCTTCTCCTCTTCAGAAGGATCATCTGGCCTGATGCATTTCCTTCGGGCGTATATTAGAACGGCTATGGACACTGCACATACCAGAAGGGCAGCAGCAACGCCTATTGTAACTGCTCTTATTCTGGTGTAAGGAGGTACACGAACTTCCACTTTATGACTGGCTGCTTGGTAGTCTGTCGTGGACATTGCTAATACTTGGAAAGTGTATAATTCATCTTCTTCGAGATCGGTCACTGAAAAATTGGTCACAAAATCAATTGATAGAAAATAAAACTATAATCTAAGTTAGGTTGTAAAATCCAACTCAAATTTTCATATTTAACAAAATTTCAATAACATAATACACCAAAATATAAAAAATATAAATACTATTCAATCATTAATATTTAAGTCTGCTCAAGGCAAAATTACACATATCAGTTCTCACCTAGATATTGTGTATCTTGAGTCTCGGCAGAGCCGCATTTAAATTCGTATTCGCTGCGGGTCCAGCGGACAATATATCTTCTCAAAGATTCAGCTCCATGTTCTGGTGCTCTCCATGTCACTAAATGACCATCTTTAACAGGCACCACTTGTACAAATGTCGGTGCACTGATTTGGAGAAAGGCGTCCAAAGGTGCCCGAAACTCTGATGGTCCCGTATATAATTGAGATGCTAAAAGGAATAAAAGATACAATAGAATAAAATGTGATGATTGCACAATTTTTAAGGTAGGGAAGAATTAAGTTATATTAGAAGTGTTATCACTTAAATATTATTTAAAAAAATTGATATGTGTATAATTATGAAAATGCAAAAAGTCAACGATACGTGGTGTTCCCAAGCGGTCTCCCATCTAAGTACTACCCACGCCCGATGTTGCTTAACTTCGGTGATCGGACGAGAACCGGTGTATTCAACATGGTATGATCGTTGACGACGATATAACTTTGAACCATGCTTTTATTCTTATTCCAAAATGATTTTTGTTAAATAAATTTATTAATATTATTTATTATATAATTTTCATAATTCACTTCTTTGTTCACGATTTGGTCTGTGCGCATTGTATGAAAAAAATCAAGTGCTGATTTTTTCATAATGTTTTTCTTTTATTTTGCCTCAAATTGATACCAGTTTTGTATCGTAGCTAATAGCTATTGTGTAAAACCAACAAGTAAATTTTCTTATTGATACATGTACAAATCAATAATAGCATTTGAATTGATAACAATAATAAAAAACTGCATTTATATAGTTGTATGTTTTAAAACCAATTTGCATGGACAAACATTTCAATTATCATATGAACTCTAAATATTTTATACTTCAGCATGATTCCTCGTAAATTATTTATATACGCTATCAAATGTTTACAATTAAATAAGCGAGTTTCTCGAAATTAATTAATTACTGTATGTAAAATGCAATGAATGGAAACATTAATATAATAAAATTACGTCATATATATTTGTATAAAACCATAAATATTTTTATAAGATGTAACAAAAAGCGTCCATTAATCACGTGAGCAGGTTCTTAACATTTTTTACCATCCCTTCCCCTTGGTGATACATGGTGATATTCAAAATCATGCCCCCCCCCTCCCTCAACAATATCACGTGTATTTTAGTTACGTGAAAAAACTGTAAAATTTTTGATTTTTTTTAAGGTTTGAACTTTTTTATAAAATTAGTTAAAAAATAAATACACGTGATATCTTACTATACCCCTCCCTCCCCCACATGATATTCCGTGATTTTTGTCAATCCGCCCCTCCCCCTAAAAATCTCACGTGATTAATGGACGCCCTTAAACAAGAAATATGCAAAACTGTTGTTTTGGTAAAATCCAGAACTGTGCACATAATTAGAAATATGTGCTTAAAGCTTGAATTAAAATTACCGTACACAGAAAATGTTTTTGATACATTATTTTATTATTATTTTGAACAGCAATCTCAACTTAAGGGTCGTGTTATCAGTTATGCTAATTTGACTCAATACTATACTTAATTCTAGTTGGTTCCAAAACTCCAACAGTTGTTATATCTTTGTGTGATGAATTCTTATCACAATTTCTGTTATAGGGCGAATATATATTGATGAAGAAATGCCGTATCAGGGATATTTTCATTTGGAAACATATTGGTATTTACATTTCCAAGTAAAAACTGTTGTCTGACTGCTTGACAACAGACTGCTCGCAGTGGAATCAATCCGAGGCTACTCTACTTACTTACCAACGAGCGAGCCCTTTTTTGATACATAATAATTTTTTGGAATGTATACATTTAGAAGGTAACTATATTACGATTTAGTTAAAAGTTTATTTAAACCAAATTTTTGTTTGTCTATTCCGGAAATAAGCAAGTACAGTAAACCCTAGGTTAACACGGCACTTTGGGTGCACGGTTCCCATACTACGTGGAGCTAAAAATCCGACATCCCTCCTCTGACTACACGGACTTCCTATTACACGGTTTTTGTTCAACAATTCATAAGTTCCTTGCGCAACCTATGAGTGATTATAGAAACTTGATATCAAAAAGGTATTAATGTAAGTTTTCTTATCGACTTTTATCTTGTAGACATGCCTGATCATATAATAGCTGCCTAAGAACACGTTTGAGCTCACTGCTGCGATGCGCGAATTTTTGAATAAGGTGTCAATGTCATACATGTCATTTCATCCGTGTTACTCCTACTTCAAGTGGTATTTCTTGATCTCCATTTAGCACGCTAAAAATGGTGCGATTTGTACTAACTCTGAGTCTTTCATGGCGCGGTTTCCATACTGCACTATATAAGATTCCATAGAACGCACTACGAATTAGCCTGAATTGTATGTGGAATAAGAGTTTTTTATAGCACGGTGCCCATACTGCACTGGACGCACTTACCGCGTTAACCGAGGGTTGCCTGTACTGATAAATGTGGCCAAAAAATGGCTACAATTACAACATAACAAAGGATAAACTACGGCTCTATCATTACTTTTTCCGCCAACATCTGGTTGGTAATGCTCCAAATTAATTTCTCGAGGAACAATATTGGCAAACTTACGTTTCGTATAAACTTTGATCGCTTTGCTGAACATTCCGTCGCCGTTGGCGTCCTCGCTCATGATCATGATCTCGTACTCCTGGGAAGGCATCAGGTTCGTTATGTTGGCTTCGGTGTCCAAACTATTGGAAACCCTCATTGTTCGCCACTCGCTCACGTCGACCGCTCGGTACCATACTTTGTATACCAATCTGGGCCTTCTATAACCTAATGAAATTTAATCTTAATACTTGAAAATATAACCAAATATAAAATGTATTAAAATAAAATTAGAAAGATTCATTTTCAAAATACTTGAATAACTATGATAAATTATAAAGTTGAATTAATTCTGAATGTTGAAGCTAATTTTGTTAGATCATATTGAGAAAATGAATTTAGTATTTTATAAATTTCAATAAATGTTATTGCTAGTAATATTTCAACAAAAATTATTGATATTTTGAAATATTGTTAATAATTTTCCCAATTATAACATCAGGCACAAACTTATTCAGGCGCAGACATATAAACTAGCTCTTTCAATATGATCGATAGTTAAGTATTCAACTTATGAATAAATTTTCTCTCAGTATCTGAAACTTAGACAACAAAAAATTCAATGCTACTTCAGTTAAACTTCTTAAAGAATTAGCCTTTTATGATATTGCCCTTTAGCACGTATAGTGCATATTATGTGTATAGAACAAGTAACATTTATTACAAGCATATAATATGATATAGAAAAACCATATTTTATGAGCCATTACATTTTTTATGAAATATGTTCGGTTTTAATGTATAAACCTAATTATTTTTCTAACGGGAAAATGTCAGATATGTTATTAAGACTTCAAAACACTGTAATGTCAGGATCAATAATGATACCAAAGGTGGTACTAAATCATATCATGTTTCATATATAAATGTCGAATGTCAGATATGCGCAATTTTAACAATTAATTAATAAATATATATTAGATGCATGGGAAGTGCACAATACATAGTTAATAATTAATTGCTTATATGACATATTGTAAGTATTTTTATTTTTTGAGATGAGGTTAACATATAAAAATTTGAGATATACAATTTTATTGAATGAAACATTATATTTTTCATAAACATTCCCAAATTTTCTGACTGATTTAATTAAACAATATCAAAACTATACTTTATGCTCTAGAAACATATATGAAATGAATTTTACAGTTTTATATGCTTATTGGCCATAAGGCTGAATGCTAGTAATATGTATAAAAAAAATATTTCAATTAGAGTAACCAGAGTGGACCATCCAACAAATTTGGGCAGTGTTAGGATATGATCAGTTTTTCACTAAATAATGTATTTACATGTGTCGTTAAATGGCAGCAAAAAATCTGCTCTGGCTCTGAAGTCATTTCACGTTTTACAAAAACTCAGAGTGAAAAAATCTTCATGTTCTATTTTATTTTTATATTGAAAAAAAAAACGCTGGCAATATAATCTCATTCTTTGAGCAGCCAACTTCAAAGATTTATAGAAACAAGTAATAATATAAAAATTATTTCAATAAACTTACGTTTTGCACACGGCACAAATGTTTTATTTGTTTTATTATTTTCATTATAATTATTTACGGGGGACAGTGGAAATATTCTTCTAGTTCAGGATTTTTTTTATTAAATCAAGATTAGTACTACGATGTAACCTCAAAACTGATGACATTCCAATTTCCTTCTTGTATCCTTACGGTTGTATACGTACGCATACAACGACAAATCTCTTTTCACACGACACGACGACTAATCACAATCGGCGCGTATACAAATGATTTCATCAAGAGCGAATGACAAACTGTTCGGGCGTAACTCTATTTCCGTTGCATTTGTACAGCTTTACTCCGTAGTCGCGCCTAAAGAAGTTTAACTTCAAAAACTATGATGAAGTATATTTGAAATACTCCACTCTCGTGGACCACCAACTATTCAAATATATAGAACTTTATGTTTGTTAGCACAGAAATGTATTGGTGTATGCGATAAACTGCATTATAGTGTATAACAGAATATAAAATTCAGCATTACTGCCTTCTTTCATACAGTTTCACAATGATTATTATTATTATAGAATCTTTATTTCTTGTTTTACCTTCGGCCCAAGTGACGAATATGGAGTTCGACGTGCTGTTTGCGGTGACATTGTACGGCGCCCGTGGAGGCAGTGTCTCTATCATGAGTTCCGTATCCGCAGTCACGGTGGCTGCGTCGTTACTGGCACTGCATTGATACATGCCTCGGTCCTCCTTTTGGATATTTTCGATGGTCAAGTTACCTCCATCAAGAGAATATCTACCTCTTGGCAACTCGGATCCATCTTTCTGTAATAAATATATACATTTTGAACAAAATATTACAATATTTTGAGAATTTTTATTTAAAGCCATTGTTAATACGTGATAGGAATATCAAAACGAGATGAGCCCCTAAGGATTACGGTAGACAATCGATAATTGGAAAATGTCGATCACTCCAAGTACTTGGGAAGCATTCTGACCGGATAGATAGACTAAGTACTTAGGAAGCATTCTGACCGGATAGATGATGGACTTCAAGTACTTGGGAAGCACTCTGACCGGATAGATGATGGACTTCAAGTACTTGGGAAGCACTCTGAACGGATAGATGGACTTCAAGTACTTGGGAAGCATTCTGACCGGAAAGATGGATACTGCACGAGAAAGATCAGGACGAGGATGGCCAGCGCCAAGGCGACGTCCACGACAAATAGAAAGCTACTGATGAGCAAACTAAGTCACGACTGGCGGAAAAGACTAATGAAGTATTATGCCTGGAGCAAAATTCTGTACAAATCAGACACGTGGACTTTGAGAAAGACCAGCAAAAACTATCAGGAGAATTTTAATATGTGGTCAAATGGATAAGGTAAAGAGGACAGATAAGACATAAAATGAAGATTTTTAGGAAAAAGTGACGAAAAAAAACTCTACGGAGCACGATCCAAAAAACGAAAGGGAACTGGATATGAGATAACTCATTCTGCAGAAGGTTGCTATATGTATGTAATTATATGTTCCACGAATACTGCTCATTTTATAAACGCGAATTTATAATTCAAACAAATTAATTAATTTAATTTAATTAAATAAAATCTCACTTAAATCACATATTATAATTATTTCACTGGTGCATGTTACGCAACCGTACGTATTAACAGTTGACACTCATATTCAATCATATCAATTCCTAGTTTCATGGAAAATTTATATTTACGGAAATCATGATGCTAATCTTTTAGATTAAACAATTAGATAATCATACAATTATGATACACGTGTTGCTACAAATGAAACCGTAATATTGGAATGTACAAGGTCAATGTTAAAAATCAATACAAAAAATTAAATGGGTATGATGGAACATAAAGTAAAACATACAAAATTGGTTATATAAAAGAAATCAACTATTAGTGCCTTTTTTAAATTACATATAATGAGATATAAAAGTGATTATTAAAAACATGTGAATTGATGTCTTTTAAACTTAACATTTCCCAACAAAAATCTATACAAACCAAAATCTGATACAAATTTATTGAATTAAGAATACGATTACGTTTTGAGCTAAAATGAACTTTCATTGTTTCAAAAACTGTTACTTTGAGAATATTCTCGATAGGATTATTGGCAAACATTTTATAGTATTCATAATCTATTATATTAATAATAATATTAACAATTAATAATAATATTTACATCAGTTAGATGTAAATTGTTAATTATTTGAGAGGACCAATTTAATATTGCTAGGCTATAATTTATGCAATTATAATTTAGTATTACTTATATATTTATATATTTCTCCTACATCACCGATATTAAATTGAGTAGGTAAACTGTGATTTTATATTGTAGATATAAGATATAAAATATATGATCTTCACAGTACATAACAATGAAAATAATCCACAAGACAAATATCTCAACGTGTTATTGTCATCGCAGCACTTGTTTTTATTTTAATAAAAATAACTTTAGGTTAATAAACTCGACTCGCAATTTACTGAATTTATACTAATTTTGGTAATGGTTTATTTTATTAAGAGTTCAGACGAAACAAATAACGTGAATTTAATTTCAGGTTAAATTAAATTTGGTAAATGCTAGACTAATTTTGAGAAAATTACAATTATATGGCATAAACCGTCTGCAATTGTCAAGTATCACAAAATATATTGTTTTATATAATCAAATTTACAATAATTTTAATTAAAAATTCTTTTAGAGTAAGAATACATTTACCACATTTCCATACAAATATTATAACTTTCGTGAGTTTGTACATTCGCCCATATATATCGTTTTTTATTTTTAGGAAATACTAGGTACGGTTGTGGTACTTTTTTTGCTCAGCAATTTCTTTGTTAATTTACCAGTTAGCCGGAAGACATTCCATTTGAGATTCTACATCTATTTTATATTATTGTTATTTCAGATAGTTTAATTCAGTGCATTCTAATGCAATTCCCTCACATATCAAGTATAATTTAAGTTGTATCACATTTATTTCTAATTTGAGCGAGGTCTCTTACATTAGCTTTCGGTCAGAGAAATTTCTTAATGAATGGAACGCAAGCTAGAAATAAAGGTCGTAAATTTAATACCAGGTTTTGTTATTTTTTGGCTATGAGAGTCTATTGCGTAATATATTTTATGTATGCAGATGCCCTATATAATGTTGAAATATTGAGTGCAACAGCACTATGCGTCCTACATTGAACTCGTCGGAGCTTTGACCTAGATTAAGCTTCGTTGGGGCAACGGAGCAACTACACTGCAGATAAATGTCTAAAGTTTTCAAATTATATATTCATTACTTCTGTCAGGAATATAAAAGTATGAAAAATATACTCTCTTCACGACGTCTGTCGGCTAACGTAAGTAGTATAATGCAAGTTGTCATCTGCAAAATTTATAGGGACATAGGATGAACTATTATATATAGAATATAAATAGAATTATCTGCTGGTGAGTCATTTTTATACTAGAACATAAAATAGAACTTTCACATAGATTTTTGTTTTCATATTACTTCAAGTTATGTTTTTTGCACTCATCACACATACAAATATAATTTCAGAAAACTATATTTTTACGCATCATTTTCAGACTAATATTATAACTTTTCTTTTTCCGATATACAAGAACTTTTCTTTGCACGCTATTTATCATGTCAAAAAAATGTGTATCTCAACTCTAATATTTCAACTTTGTCTAATTTTTTTTTTTAAATCTTTTATATGAGCCTAAAAAACAATAAATATTTGACACGTTTCTATAGAATATTAATAAATTGTATTTATTAAAATGATAAATACTACTTTTTTCAAACTACATGTATGGTTTGAAAATATCGCGATTCTACTGATTATAATAAACCATTCTTCGATTGGTTTAGGTTGAAGCGAAGCATTTAAGAGAAATAAAGCATTATAAATTTTGAATTACCTTTTCTACATACATGAAACTTTTGTAAGAAATTAGTGTTCCACTAATTATATTTAATATTTACATTTATTTAACTAATATTAATTTATTTAAAATAATTTTAAGCGTTCTTTTTCTAATAATTGCTAGATCGTTATGAATTACTTCAATAACATTAACAAAATTCCGATCATTGTATAAATGGCACTTATGTCATTTAGCTGAAAATTTTAATAATTCTTCATATTTTGCATATTTTATGAAAAAATATACGTATCATATATTTCAATTTAATAATTTCAATATAGAAATTTGAACTACAAGAAAAACCTTAAAATCGGCCAATTTTTGCGAGAAATAATATCAGCGCTTTTTTAGAAGCAGATGCGCAATTCCGACATTGAATAAAGTCTTGATTAACAAAAATAAATCATAACAAAAAAAAAGTTTTATTATATATATCCGAGATTCGAGTTATTGAGTTTTTTCTTATTTCCACAACTTAAAAGTGGTTTAGGTTTTTATCCAAAATAAAAAAGTACGTTGGGTATAATACGATTCTTCTCAAACACTATAACTATACTAAGCATAGAAATTGGTTTACCTTTACATAATTTATCATAAAAAGTATCATGATCATTTATGATCGACTAGGATTTGAAACTAAGTAGTACCTCGATTATCCGGACCTCAGGTATACGGATTCGCGATCATCCGGACTTCCAAATGCGACAGAGTTATATGTATGTACAATACCTACAATTCGAATTTTTGCACGATTTATGGGCAGTTTTAGTATTTGTATGTAATATAATTATGAAAATATATATGTGCATACATAAGGAAATTTTAATTTCTTTTAAACATTGATTTTCGTTGATATCTATGTATGTATTTGTTATTTTGATAAATACACATCATTATTCTTCATACATTGGATTATCCGGATTTTCGATCATCCGGATGCCTATCGACAACAATAGTCCGGTTAATCGAAGTTCTAACTATATTACTTGTAAATTAACAATCATGTATACTTTTCTCCCAAATCGGGCAATTAACAAGTATAGCCCACTAAATAAACTACGTATAACTAAATCTTGGACGTTTACTTAAAATAAATATTGCTGCTTCAATTACATTTAGTTCAATTATTGTTTTCATCTATTGCTTGAAAGCATTAGATAAAACGAGCAAAGAAACAAAGTGATTTCGCATTTCCCGCGAAGTAGTAACGATCCAACGAGAGAAGCGTGCCGCCGTAGCAGGCACGTGCAGCGCCCCTAATATACAAGGAGACCACGTACATTTCAAGAAAATAAGCGTGAATCTCGCAATAACAACGGATAAAGTGAGAATTAGATATTTTTATAAAATATTTTGATACTAGATCAATTTGTTTCCTTATGATGGAAAATTATTTATGGTTTTAATAGTAGCTAAAATATATTGATGAAGAAAATAAGAAATATTAAAGTGAACTTATTATTATTACCGTACCATTTTATTTCATGAATTTATTGATTGTTACATCTTAATTTATTTGTACATAACTAGCGTGATTACCACCGTTTAATATTTACCAATTTTTTATATTAAACATTTAATATATAAAGTTATGTGCGTGAATATTTAACCTGGTCTTATTTGGCAAATAAGTTGGTATCTAGAACTGCCATTGACTTCACCAAAAATTGAATAATAAACGAGTTAAATAATATGGAAAGCAAATTTAACTCTTGTAATATGAATTGTCAGAAAATTTAATCCCTTAATTATATACAGAGAAACGTATTTACATTATGTATCAACGTACTATTATTACTCTACAATTTCAAATAATTGATTATTGATATTGGATCTTAATTGATTTC